GTCTAAAGAACTCATCGAATGAGGATTGATCTCTGTCACTAGAGATGAAAATTACTTCAAATTCTTCATCTTTCTCCTTAATTTTGTGGTATGCTTCAATGAGTTTTGGCAAAAAAGCACGGCATGGAGGGCACCAATGGGCTGAGAAGTACAATAGCATGTTCTTTCCCACCAAAGCAGACACGGGAATCTGAAAATATATAAATAGAACAACCAATGCCAAATTAATTGGATAAGAGAGTGCATATTTGGGCTATTAGGCTACTAAACACTTGGTAGCATTAAAGAACAGGCAAGAGAATTTTACCTTAGTTCCTTCTTTATCAATGACATAGTCTAGATCACCTGAAACCAAAACCGACTCTAGTGTTTGAGCGGCCTGCTTTGCTTTCTCTATCTCTGAAAGCTCTGCAAACTTTTCTGGGGTAAAAGGGTACGCAATAGCTCCATGCTCTTCAATCACCTCAGCAACATTGGAATGAACAGCCTTTCCATCAGGCCCAATAATAACTAAAGTGGGAATGGTTGAGAGCTCAAAATACCGAACTAATTTATTGCATAATTTGTCCTTGAAGGGCAAGGAAAACCAAGGCATGCTTTCGAAAGCTTGTTTGAATGATTCTTCCTCATCATCAAGAGATATTAACACAATCTCAAAGCTCTCCCCTTTTTCTTTTAGTTTCTTATAAACCTCCACAAGTTCTGCGGTAAAATCAATACATTGTCTGTACGAAGACACTGCGAAATACAGACCAACTGTCTTCCCTTCAAGTTCGGATACAGCCACCTTGAATATATCCACATCAATAATGGAAGTCAGATTATGGAATGAACAATACATATGAAAATCAAAATTTTTACTTGTAACTTAATCACTAGCAACATAGCTAACAAATACCTTGCTTCCATCAGGCGAAATTACAAAGTCCCGTGAATGCGATACCAGAAGAGACCGCAAAGATTGCTCTCTTTTGGCTTTTTCTTCTTCCTCTTTTAATTCTTTCACTCTTTCCAGGGTGAAAGGGAACCCTTCCACTCCATACTCTCGAATGATTCCCACCCCATCATCACTCACAACTTTCCCATTTTCATCAAGGACTACAAGGTGGGGAATTCCCCTCACCTTGAACAATTCATCCAAGCGCTTACGTGTGTTTGAATCACAAAATGGGATAGCAAGCCAGGGCATTACAGAAAAGTATTCATTGAATGAATCATCATCTTCATCAGCAGAGATAAAAACAACCTCAAGATCACCTTTTGGGAAGAGTTCATCATACACCTCAACCAACCGAGGGGTGAAACGCTGACATGGGCCACACCAATGTGCTGAAAAGTATAATCCAAGTTTCTTTCCCTTCAGGCTATCAATTTTAACCTGTAAAATTAGGCATTTAGTATGTGATTCCGTTCCATTCATACCTCTAATAAGGGCATGTGTCCAAACATAAACACTTTGACTCAATTAACAGAACTCATTCCTTTCCAAAATAATCATTTAACCGAGCTCACTGAATACAGTTTACAGTTCACCTTACACAAAAATGAATTTTATGCAAGTTAATTTTAGGGACAAATTAATTTTGTTTGTGAAATTCTTTTGGGAATTTACACTTATTTTCACCAAAAAAGGCAAAAAATCCCTCACCCCTTCTCAGCAAAATAAATGAAAATATCCAAATAAATTCCACATCAAGCTTATTTGTTCTAAAGATAACCTATATAATCACAATTGTACCCTCCATATATCAAACTAAATTCACTTACCGTCCACTATGAAAATCCCTAACACTACAGCTTACAGTCAATTCCTGCTAAGTTATAATTAAGCAGATAGTTAATTACCAAATGACAAGAAAAGTCTCTAGAAATGGTTTCCACATAGATTGTCATTTTCCCCCCCACAAATACATAGATCCTATTTTGCAGCCACCCTCAATTAAATTCAGAAATGAAAATTGTGAATCACGTGCGCTTTCCCTGATAAAGAAAGTCTACATGCTTTGTAAAATATCACATATTGAGTAAAGAAAATTCATGGATCGTAGACAGTAGAGCTACTAAAGAACTAAAGAAAGAAGAAAAGAAAACCTCCCAGTCTCAGACCAAGTCAATCACCTTTTGACCGTTGTTACGAATAAGAAAGTCCCTCCCCGGAGAAGAAAGAAGGGAGCGTATGTCGTGGGAGTCACCGTTGATCATCTCAGGAAATTGATTTTCATTATCCGACATTTTCTCTGGTGCTCTTTGCTTCTGTTTTCTTTACTTGCGGAGGGTCTGAAATGTAGAAGAAAGAGGAGAAGGGACCAGGAAGCGAGGGAAGACCAGCTTTGTAGCAGGAATCCAGGGACTGGGCCATGTGAGTATTTATATATATATATATAGAGAGAGAGAGAGAGAGAGAGAGGCCGCGTCTGTTACTGGTTTTTTTAGAAAAAAATATTTCGTGCCTGTAAATTTATCAATTAAGAAACAGCAGAAGGGACGAGGAAGCTGGGGAAGACTAATTTATCAATTTAAGCATTCAGGGACTTAGCATATATATATATAATTCTTGCCTGTAAATGCTTTTTTTTTTTTCTAAAAATATAATTCTTTGTTTTTCAATGCCTTCGTCTGTAAGTTTTGGAAGAAACGGCACATGCTCGAGTCAAAGCAATTATGATGCTTGATATTTCTCTTCAAATTAAAATTTTAAATTGCATTTTATGAATGTTTTTATTAATGAATTATGTTATTGTTAATTATGATATT